GCTTTTATCATTACGGTCATGAAGATTTTTCCCACTACTAAGCTACGCCATACGTAAAGGTACATGCAGAAATCCCATGGGTAGAGGTACAGAATAATCCCGAATATCCAACCTAACCGCTATCACGCTCACCTGTCAATTCAAGCTCCGAGTTGAGAAACATAACACCAATAGCGTTGAGGATGCCCCATTAATCTCTAATTAACTCTCGGTTGCTTCCTTGCAATCGACAGTAGTAACTTTCAAAGGTCTTTCGTCCTGTAAGACGGGTGAAGGTTTTCTAATTTCTCTGACCAGGTGCACTTGAATAATGTTGAACTAATCATGTTGCTAGCTGGTACCTCAAAATTCCGAAAACTCTGTGGACAAGGTTAACTCCGACCTGCTTGGCAGATTCCGAATAAGCAGCCTCTCTGATGTAACCTCGACTGGGTCAAAACCTCTTTTCTATCAGTCCACACGGTGCGTATCAAGCATCGTTACAAGCACAAATTATTCCGTCATTTTACGTATTTTACTCAACTCATTCTTTCTGATCGAATACATTTCACCGCAATCATATTTGACGTATGAAATTCACGTTAAGTTTGGGCGGCGCGGTGGCCAGAAGTGACAAACCCAAGTGGTAAGTTGCCCTTAGCCGCCTCAGTAGTCCTACCTGCGCCCAGCCCTGAATACACCGAGACGCCGTGAGGCGACAGTAAATTGGCTCTCAGTGCAGTCTGCGCGACCTTGGCGCAGGCTCTACATTGGTTAAATTTCCCGTTTCCCAAATTCGCTTATTAATATACCCACCATCGCTCTAGTCGTTTCGTCATTTCTCCACTATAAGACCATACCTAAACGTGAGTCTGCAGTCGTCGCTATCTTTATCGCTGCATTATGCAGAACTCCGTCATTGACGCCTTAACCACTTCTTAAGCTGGTCCAATTAATCTGTTCGGTACGCAGTAGTGAGGCATTTGGATAGCCGACATCTATTGTACGGGCGCGATAGTTGACATTGAATGGCTTTTTTTTTAACAAAGATGACTGCTATTGGATACGCTCAGAGTGCGAGTACGGGAATCCCTTGCTTAGCGTGAGTCACCACCCTCTAAGCACAAACACAAAGGATAAGGCCAAGGGGGAGCCACCGACATCCCTGGACTAAAAACAAGAACTCTGGGAGAATGCTTCTGCTGTTTCAGCCCAAGGCCGAGTCATCCCCAAGTGCGCCCACTGAAATATGTCTTGGACGACCTTGAGTGCGACAGTATTATATGTGAATTAGTCAATATTATAGAGACAGTTTCGTGCGGGAACATAGCGAAGAGAGGCAAAATAGAAAATCGTCAACTGCTCGAAAATTGTAGTCTTGGGATGGCCAACTTCCCCAGTACCTATCGTCTGAAAAACGAATAGTGTTGCCTCATTGGTTGCCGGCGTCTCCGACTACTTCGTCTTGGAGATGTGGGTCTATTCACCGCCATTTGGTTTGTGACCGGATGTTCTGATGAGTCTTCCACGGGTACTGGCCCACTGTCTCGTCGAACATGACCTTCCTGCGTCGGTAGGCCCAAGAGCACACGGATGTGCCCACCTCATCTAAGGTGCCAGATCCCACTGATGGAAGCTCAGGGCTCGTGAATTGTACTGAGCGCATTGAGGAACCTTCGTCCACAGCTTGCGACCCATGAGGGCCTCGGGCGCTGGTTGGCGATTTGGAAGTGCTCGTTTGGTATGATGTGGTACAGCAACAGCAGCAGCAGTAGCAGCAGCAGACTGTAGGATGTCGGCTAATTTTACCCCTCTCCTCAAAATTTGGAGAAGGTTCGTTTTAGGTGTGGACGACCTGTAGGTTGTAGGGTGAGGAACGAATATGAGTGGTTGCGTGTTGCCTAAAGAATTCCTGGAAAATGTGTGAATTGAATTGGAGGCCGTTGTCGTAATCGATGGTTTCCGAAATCCCGTTTTGGGTAAAAGTTTTGGACATTGCTTGCAACGCCCTGATTGTCGTTGGGGAATTTACTGGAACAATCGGTGGCAATTTTGAGTAGGAGTCAATCATCGTAAGGTTCGAGATCCCGTTGAGAGGCCCTGTAAAATCAATGTTAACATAGAACCAGGGCTTCTGGGGCTGGATCCGAAGAACGGGAGAAGTCTGGGAGGGATTCTTGGTGGCCTGCTGGCATTTGGAACTGCCAAAATCACCTCTTTATCCATAATTTTTGCTGGTGGTTGATTTTGAAATATCAATTGATCTGTAGCTTAGATTATTTTCTTTCCAAAAGATACTTGTTTATTTAGCGGATTTATAGGCATTACTAATATTTTTCATAAAAATGGATTGTGGTCTTTTGTTGAGCAACAAAATTTAATATGCTGAAATTTTTTTCTTTCTATTATCCGTGCCCCTTAGCCTGTGTACTGGTAAAACGGATGCAAACCTAATAATCAGGCATGCCGCACTAACGTAATCCCAGCGTAGAGATTATTTCGCCCCTTTTCCATTCATATTTACCTTGGGGAAGCGTGCGGCGTAACTGGGTTACGGTAGGACACGTAGAGGGAGGGAACGTGGGTCGATGACTACAGGCTACACAGCGTGTGTGCAGCAAGCCCTCTTGCCCCACCTACGCATCAACTACGATTGGCTTAGTTCCAAGCCTTAGCGGCTGATCTTCAGGCTGTCGCCACCTTATTCTGCACTTCTTGACCCATCGCGTCGAGCGTAGCTCTGGTACCTGCCTGACTGCCTGATAAAATGTCGAACCGAATGGCTGACATGGGTATGGATGTACAAATCAACCGTAGGGTGAGTGATTGCAACATAAATAGCACTATTTAAGTGGGATTAGCTTCAAAGCAGACCTCTTTAGGTAGCATTTGAGGACTAAAAGCCATATCAATTAATAATGCCACTTTATATAGGGCCTCACATTTTTACTGCCTCAAAGGTAGCTGACGTACATGCATCTAAGCTGTGTGGGAGAGGAAATCTTACTGTTTAATAAGCATTTCAATCAAGAACAATTTACTTCTTTCAGTAAGGCTGGTGAATGACCATTTTCGCCAGGCTTAAATTGCAGAAGCTACTTCGTTTATGACAGATCTGCAACAAAATCGTTTAAAGATAAACTTTACACTCAAAACAAGTTCGTTTGACTTGCTTTAAAGAATTCACACAGCAGTGGAAACCAATTAGTTTTGTACAAAATAAGTCAGCTATCTCACGACTAGTTTTTCACTAATGCTATTTTCAAGAATTTTCACACTTAATCGATATCCAGTATCAAATTGTAATAACTTACGAGGTGAATAGTGCCTTAATTTTGAATTATGCTGTTGTGCTCCAAATTGCAATTCAAGTTAATCCGAAGACTTGTTAGAGGAATCGAGTAACTTGTTCTGCATTATCAACTCAATTCTCTAGCACATTTTCACATTATTTTTTCCTGAACTATTTCGCTTAGTTATTTTTGCATTCTGCATAAGTCAGTTCATATATTCCTTCTGACACTTTTCCTGACTTCTCATCGGTCTAACGCAATACTAATTTTCTCTCTGTACCGCAGAAATTTATCCATTATTACGCACACATTGACACAAGCCTAGAGAATGAATAAACATTTGCGTCGAACACGTCGTGTCGTTCACTCACCGTTTTCTGGTCTCGGATACTACGAGTGCTAATGATGAGTAGAATCTTCATGTAGCATTCCTTCAGCTACATACTATGCATCAAAGTGGAGCCCCAGGATTATTCATGAAAAATTAGTTTAGTCTGGTGCAATAATCTTACTTTGAAAACGCTCTCAATCAAGACGCTTGTAATTAATACAAGTTTGGTTTGATGAGCCGATTTGGCTGAAATCCACTATTACCGAGGATCAGCTTTTTTAGCTAAACAATTGTATTTTGATTCAGGGCATTTAGGTTACACATGCAGCTTGGTAACATAGGTAAGTTGTAAAAGCACAGATTGAGAATCGCCTACGAAGAACGTTGTAGACAGGTCCGAGGTTTGATGGTGAGACGACACAAAATTCTCACCAGCACGTGTAGGTCAAAAAATGTCAAAGGAACACGCTACCTATAAATCAAATGTGTACAGACAACCCATTCAAAATCAAACAAAATCTTAGATCTCCCAGGTCTGGTCTTTTAAAGTGTACAGGTAGGATGTCTAATAGTCGAGGCACTACTGCAGGTAATTAGAGATCGTCGAGTGTTGAGTGAAACCCGCAATGTTAACCGTGAAGTGTTCAATCGAATGATTTATGCATGTCTCAGAAGCATACTGTGAATTAAAATAATTATTTCTAATAAGAGAATAAACTGAAAAAATAGTATTATTGAAGTGTGGAAGCATTTTGGTGTTAAAACTCATGATCACACTAAAATCCATAGTTTTGTTGATCTTTGTTTTTAGCGTGATTGGTGCTACAAACATCGACAGATTTAGATTAGCACTGATTAAACATTTCTTTAAAAATGTTATTTGTCTTAGTAATGCGCATTTGTAATAAACTAATGCCAATCAGAGTGATTGTAGAAGGCTTTCCTGTACGAGGTATACAATGAAAGAATGCTGAGTCATCATTCGAATGTTTTTTAATACATGATGGCAGCTTATCCAAGAGAAGACAAATCACCTTGCCCAATACCCACTGTGGCTTTATTGAAAGCGCCTACATGTTAACAAATAACTTAAGGTGGCTGGATTTACCCTTAGAACCCCATAATAGGAAACCGCATAAATTACCTAAATTTAATTTTTGGTTCGCACATTATAGGCCAAAATGCTGACCATTCGAAGTCGGTGGAGTTCAGTCTTTTTATATTTACAAAGTTTACTTTTTCAAGCGCGGATTTATTCTATCCCTTTTAGTTTAAAATCGTGCCCATCTCACCAAAAGCCTCGACACCACCAACTTATTCAAACGAAATTAGGTGTCTCGGTTGAGCATTTGTCAAAATCAAGCCAATCACCAATGTCCATCCCTTTTTCCCATAACATGACACAGTGTGACTGGAAAAAAGGTACTGTAGGTGATCAGGGCAAACTTTTACATCTTGGCAATCTTGTTCAATAAGGGGATTTCGTGACGCATGGAACAACGGCGGTCTGGAAGTGCAAGGACCCAACTGCATAGCCGATGAACACAGTCATATCCCAGCCAGATTATAACAATTTTTAGGTATCCATAGGCACTTTTATTTTGGAATCGATTATGCAATTTAGTGAGAGCTTATCGATAATATTAGACAAACAGCAAAACCTTTTGAAGAGTAAGGATTCTATACAACTGCCCACCGGTTTACCAACCTAGAAAAAGGGGATTTGGTTCAAATTTACAGTAAAATATCCACTGTTTGCTGATCATCGAGCTTCTTAATCGTTTCAAGACTAAGCATTTTTTGGAAATTTTGAGAAAAATAGAATTTTTTGCCTTTAGTTCAAGATTTATGCCAAAGTAAAAGAAACAGGCTAACATTTGACGATAATTTGAAACAAAACGTAAAATTGGGACCTTTCTGCCCAAACAAGGATTGTCGCCTATTTAAGCAATATTCGCCCCAATAATATTCAGCAATTTGGCGAATTCGAACTACTGAATCTGCGTAAAGAGAGGTATAACTTTATTAATTTTGCGTCCTGTTAAGAAACATCAGACTCTCAGTTAAATATATAACCAGTCATTTTTACAAACAGTTAGGTATACCAATCTATTACTTCAACCTACAAGTAAAGGTCCTATTCTTTTACTATCAACATTGTCAATGCTTGCGAGATGTGTTAGGTTTAAAACAGCCGACAGAGTTATTTTCTATGTGTTTGCCTTAAATCAGTATTTTAAACATGTTTTATTCTGCAAGGAAAAAGCTTATCAATTATCGTCTTCGTTAAGTCTTCCATCTATTGTTATCTTGTTGTTAAATCGCTACTTTAACCCATTCATCAGAAATGTATGTAAAGAAAACAGAGGCTGCTAAAGCCACACATTGTCACTCCACTAAAAATATTTTTCTTATAGTTGAATAGCAAGGTTGATAGTGAGTCGGAAAAAGAGGTTGTTGAATGGGTCAGCAAGTTGACGGGTGAAAATATCCCACTCGGTATTGGGAATATTGCTGCAGCACTAAAGAATGGCCAAATCCTCGTCAAGTAAGTTGAATATTTCTCGTTTGATAGCAAAAAAGCTCATATTGCACTTTCGATTGCAGTTCTTTATTCAAGATTAGGCGTTTTCCAGTTCTTAGACATAGTTTTTGGCATTAGCAGGATTTGTCACATTCACCAAATGATGCAACCAATTTTGAGTTAATTTAAAAATTTTGCTAGGAAGGACAAAACAAAACAACAAAATATCTATTAAGAACTTTTGTGAAATTCTTTAGACCACTTTATTAATTGTCAAATATTTTACGGAAACCTTTAATGTTTTGCATTATCTCATATCAGAAATTTCCGAAATAAAAATAATCACTCATTGAACTATGAGTGCATTAATGTTGTCTGCATTTAAGTACGTAGGATGGATATATGTTAAATTAATTTTCTTATATCACTAAATCTAACTTGAAATAGAGAAGTCTAGCTATGCGTGAAATCATATATGTGGATGGGAGACCCGTGTCATCGATTGGTACACTTAATGATTGCTCCTACCCTCGTATTAAATCGTTCCAGTGCGCGGTTCAGCAAACGCTGGTGCCGGAAGTCACACCAAAAGAAAACACCTCGAAACATTATTTTGTCTATAGTTTATACAATCCTTCCACATACCTTAAAGGCACTAAAATGATTGCTGGACCTTTGAATCAAGAAACGAAAGTAACTTATCGTGTTAGAATATGTTTTAGGAATGAGACTGATTTTTTGAGTGCAGAAAATAATTCATCGAATCTAAATCCTGAATTAAGTTATAATGTTTATGTTGCAACGAAAAAACACTTGAAATAAGCATCATCACTACTCCATGTTTTTGCATTAATTCAGTTCTTCTGGAATTCGACGAAGAACACAATCTACATTCTTCAAGTCGGTAAACAGGTCAATTCAGATTTGGCGCATTTGCCTAGTCTGAAAAGAATATAAAATCTTGGCCTCTTTTCGCAAAGAAAATAGTATGGTTTTGTGAAAATTTTAATAAATATACGTTGTGTCCACGGTGTATATTATGCTAAAATGGACTTAGAGCTTCGCTCTGGCGACAGCAAGTGAATCCCGCCTGGCCGATAAACATTTACGTGGGGTGTCAAACGGGGACTTGCATCGAGCGCTTTTGTGTGTTCACATGTGTTTAGGAAATCGGAATCAATAAAATGATAACAAATACTTATTAATATAAGTTAAACGTGTGAGATTTGTGTGATCATTGGTCAGCGGCAAAATAAACTGAACATAGGAATGGAACGTTCAGGCAGCATAAAGTACGCTTTGTTTTTAATTTTCGGTATAGGCTTGTAAATGTGGTTTATGAGGGAACTAACCCCCTTCCTCCAACTGTCACCAAGAAGAAGCACCCATTCAAAGTAAACACAGCTTCAGCTCCGTTCAAACAAGTAAGTAGTTTCTTATCTTTATGCAAAATACAAATTTTCCCTCTAATGGCCATGACTATTAAGAGCTAAGGCATATATTTCCAGCACATTAACCATCTTGCATTGTTATCATCAGAGTATTTAGCTTCCTGAACTCAGTCAATGTCTAGATATATATTCGGAACCTTTTAGTGGTTAATGTCAGCAGGCAATAAGTGCCAACTCAATAGGCTTTCAAGACTACACGCCTGCAGCCCTTTGTTTACCGCTAAATGCAATGACATAACTTCATCAACTGTTCTACCAAGCATTTGGACTAATAATAATTTAATACAAAATCTATTTATGCAACATGATAAATTGAGATTTTACATCCTTTTAAACTACACCTTATTTTCAAATAAGATAATTCAACTGTAGTCATAACTGAAGTTCAACTACAGGAAAGTACTTGACCGAAGGGTCTTAATTGAGAAGCATAACCATGCTCAGTTGGTTTAAACGGCCGCCAACAGTATCTCGAAGATCGACGATGGTGGACCGAAGTGAGGGCAAAAGCAGTTCACTGAGTACTTACGGTGAGAGGTTATGTGAGTGAACCCTCACATGGAACACTATTGGCATATCATCTTTAAATCTTATCCATATGCTGAGAACGACCATCGTATCAATACATTTGTGTACTGGATTAAATAACTTACATTGCAGTCTCCAAAATTTATTGACGTAATATAGTTTTCAGTATTTCTTTGCTACACTGCGTGTACAACTCTGATAAATGAAACTTTAACCTAGTTCACTAACATGGGTTTATGTGGCGTAATTTACATCTACTTTTAGATGGAAAACATCCAGATTTTCCTAACCGCTGCCGAGGCCTATGGTGTTCCCCGTACCAGCCTTTTCCAGACGGTTGACCTCTATGAGATGAGAAATATGTCTCAGGTGATAAACTGTCTCCTTCAGCTTGGAACGGAGGTGAGTAGTTTCATGCTTGTCAAGGTAGCAAAACAATAGCAGAAGCTTCCCTGGGTCCGTTTTATTGGGTGGTCTTATGGCATCAGTCACCTAAAGAGTCGAACTGGTCCATTGAGGAAAGTAACAACTGAAAATTCAGCAGTCTCGACATTCGAGTTTCCTAGTCTGATTTTAGGTGACACGCTGAGAGGCTGCTGCTGCTGCTGCTCGGTGACTAATGGGGAACAATCCAGTTCCGCTACACAGCCACAGAGTGAGAGTTGTCAATGGTAGTCACAAAAAAGAGTTGGACTTAAGTAGGTGTGATAGATGAAGCGCGCCTTAAGACGTCCATCTACTACCAAATCTACCATTAAGATCTCCAATCCGACCAGTAGATTTCGGCCAGAAATGTCTGATTGAGTTTTTTGCGAAGATACTAGCCAGCAGCTATTTACTAATCTCGAACTAAAACATAATTTAAAAGTTTGGTTGTTTTTGATTTGGCCGAGGTATTTACGTACTCCTTTTCTGTTTAATGAACGTTGATAGACGACACTTATTCTAGAGATTACGGGCGCGTTTGTTTCACCATCGATTGATGGAAAAGGGTGCTGACACACGGCCAACGGCTTAGTCGATTCTACCACCGCTACTAGGGTAGACCAATCAGGTGGCTAATGTGGAATGCGATAAAGTTATACGCGCAAGGGTTGGCACCAACCAAGGACATGCACGACGAAGTAAAGGGGCAGCCAGGCGATGGAACGCATGCACACTGCAACGCGGCCCTATTTAGCCAATAAGAGCGAAGCAGTGGACGTATTAAATCGACCGCACAGACGAGATACATCTCAGATAAACACAACAGAGGCATTCACGTGGTCTTCGCCATTATTGTATTTGGATCTACCCATTAATTGTGAGAACAAACACCTGAGATTGTCTCTGTCGAAGGGATCATTGCATCACCAACAAATAGATGCTACTTCCTCATTATTAGTTTAACAAAGAAAATATGCGAGGCTGAAATTAGTTTATTAAGTTCAAATCTGGCTTCAAGTGTAAAAGCGCTAATGATGTAGAGTAAACTATGGGAAGCATTTTGGAAGTTGTGATTGTTTTCTGCTGGCAAATCGTCTAAACCCTAAGAATAACTTGGAAAACCAATTAACCCATGACGCCAAAACCGATGGGTTAGTAAAACATCGTGTTGTCCACCCCTTATATTTTAATGCGATGCAGTATGGTCGATTGAGTCTTTCGTTTTAGTGCCAGCGGAACAATTTCAATGGACCCACCTGTGGACCAAAGCCAACGTACGAAAACAAACGTGACTTCACTGAAGACCAGCTTGCCGCCTCAAAGACCATTATTGGCCTCCAGGCAGGCTCAAACAAAGGTGCTAGCCAGAAGGGCATGAGCATGGGCGCGGTCCGCCACGTCGCAGACATAAAAGCTGATGAAATGTCCAAAGAAGCGCAGGGAATTATTGGACTCCAAGCAGGCTCAAACAAAGGAGCCAGCCAAAGCGGCATGGCTATGGGCTCCGTGCGCCACATCACTGATATTAAGGTTGATGAAATGTCCGACGCGGGCAAAACCTCACTTAATCTTCAGACGGGAACTAACAAAGGTGCCAGTCAATCGGGCATGGCCATGGGTGCTATCCGCCATATTGCGGACCAAAATATATCTGAGATGTCTGCAGAGGGTAAAAGCGTAATTGGTCTGCAATACGGCTCAAATAAAGGCGCTAGTCAGAGTGGAATGGCCATGGGAACCAGGCGTCATGTGGCTGATATTAAAGTGGATCCAATGTCCAGGGAAGGGGAAGGTATCATTGGGCTGCAGGCGGGCTCAAATAAGGGGGCCACTCAAAGCGGGATGGCAATCGGTTCTATGCGTCATGTGGCCGATATTAAAGTCGATGAAATGACCAAGGACAGTCATGGTGTGATTGGCTTACAGGCCGGCACCAACCAATATGCTACCCAGTCAGGAATGAGCATGGGCAGTAGACGTCATGTTGCCGATATTAAAATTGGAGAAATGTCGAAGGAAAGTGCAGGAATCATTGGACTCCAATCGGGCTCTAACCAAGGAGCAAGCCAAGCCGGAATGAGCTTTGGAACACAGCGACACATTGACAATGTCAAAGTGGGAGAACTTAAGTAGATATTTTGTGCCTTCCTTTTAAATTCAAGTCTTCCATGTTCACATGTTTCTTCCATCCTTCTTTTGAACAACACAGTAGCACGTTCTACTATCGTCGTATTTACTTGGGTTCTTCTATTAAAGTTGACTGGCATCTGTCAAACTTCATGAACATGCTTTCGCAATATCTATACCTGCTGACAAATAAAATTTCAACTTCCTTTTTATGCATATGGTGGTGGTCATTACCGTACAACTCAATTACTCCACTAGGACTTTAAAATAAGAAAGTATCTGCCACAAGTTAATGTGTTTTGGAAGTTCCACAGATGAACTCATGAGCCTTACAAATACTTTAAGAGGACAAATTTGCTTAATTTCATTTCAGTTTTTAAAATAGCAACCTGGAATCATCTTGAGATTCCTTTTAATCGAAATTTTGAATGAGGCTTTTTAAACCGAAAATGTCAAATTCGTTTCCGGGTTAAGGACACGGATCTTCCCAACGCGCTTCGTAGTACCCGGAAGAGATGACAACTTGTTGTCTCCTGGGTCGTTGAGTGGAAGGGATGAGCTAGAACAGAAAGCCAAGTACAGGAAGTATCTGGTGTATTGTAAGAAGTGCCAGACTACCCCAACTTAGTTTAAGTAAATTTTGTTGCAGCTCTCTAAAGTTTCCACCTCCAGCGATGGCTTCACCTCTTGACATAGATTTGAGATTTAAACGTTACCAGTGATCAGATAAAAGCATACAAGTCTTCGAAGATGCTAGTTTTTGAGAACGGTTGTAATTGCCACTCCTGATCAAGAGCACTTCATAATTACACACTTACATTAAAGCTTTAGTTTCCAATAATCTGTTAGCACCAGTTTGGGAAACTTTTTGCGAAATCAAACATGTCAGTCGCTTTCGTTACGGAGTTTCGGAGATGACGATTGAGGGGTTGAAATAATACCAGCCAATTACCTCTGCATATATCACCAGAAAAAACAAAAATCGATTTTACAGAACTTAGTATTATCAAACGAACATCAACTAACGGAGCTTTCACCATCGATGTTTATAAATCACTTCAGAACTACTTTAAAACTTCAGAAGTTGTCATACTTTATTTTAAATGGTACTTTAATTAGACTGGGGAGCATACACTCAAAAGCTTTAACAAGGAGTATAGACACTAGATACACCCTCACAGGTAGAGCACAATTGAACACATTCTCAGGCTACGCAGACAAAACCACCAATTGTTATTACGTAGCCTGCTTAAACACCCAAAGTGGTACCTTCTGCTTCTAAAACTCAGAATTGCGTCGTTTTGCCAAAAGAACCGATGGAAAATCTTCCAAGTATGCAATGCTAACAATTATTCGAATCGACAAGCGAAACTTCCAATTTGTGGTTTCCTACAAAACCCTGGTAATAGGTCAATTTAAGTGACGCTAAGTGATGCATATTGGGTGGAAAGCCATGCAGGACGAGCCTTGCAGATGTAATCAAATTTATATTGCTGTGAAAACTAGTAATGATCCTTCAAAATTTAAATTAAATAAACTAACTTTCCCATTTCTGTTAATAAGGAAAATTATTTCGATCATACCAGAGAACAGAGAGGGATAGCTGAAAATAAAATATGGTAGAACCACAAACTACTTTGAACACGCCAGAAAAAATCTTTCCAGATCTGACTGCGTAAGTTCTTTATAAAGTACTTAAACGTCAAATACCACATTGCTTTTACTTATGTGACTTAGAACCGAAAGACACAGTTGACTTGAGTAAAAAAAAGTAAATTGAAATTAGTGGTCCTGAATGCTTGCATGTTAAGGCCTAAATGAAATTAAACATTTGTAAAGCCAGATTTGTGTGAATATTTAATCACAAAAATAATTATAAGTAACTCGAAGTGATGCAGACAGATGAAATAAAACTTCAGCCTTGTACATAAGAGCAGGACTCGGAAGTTAATGCTATATACTTTTACGTTTTACTGCAGGCATCTTGAACAGTCGTGGATTTTTTTGTAATGTGTATCAGTAGCATGGTAAACAACGTTAGAAAGCAGTCAGTTTGCATAAACCAGCGAAAGCCCAAAATGAAATTAAACAGGCGATAGACGTAAGCGCATGATCACATTCCTCAGAAGAGTGCTCTTTACCCGTCATGCCTATATATATTTCTGTCATATCTGTGATTCAGACAGTCTGCAAGTTATCTAAGTGGCTGGCTGGTGGCAGATTGCGGCTTATTGTTAAAAATTGCCATATCCACTAAAACGGGACAAAGACGGTTATCGACTATAGTGTCTTCTTTTATTCGATGCACACGAATAAATTGACCCATCATAATTGTCTAGTATCTACAATATTTTCATTAAAAATGTGTTAAAAAGGCCAACATGCTTCACCGTGTTTGATAAACACGTAAGCAAATGGAATAACGTCTTTAAAGAATGGGACTTAGCAAACTATAAACAAGGCAAAGTGAACTGTACTTTGTTCACGCCCCCTCGACAATATTTAAAATGCAATTTGTTAATCATATGAAAACATCAAGTTATTTAGGCATTTATTTCCTTTTTAAAGCATTGGTTTAAAAAATTTTGACTGCTTGCATCTAAGGGGAAAATTTGAAATCAGAATTAATCGGTCTGTTGATGATGATAATAATAATAATAATAATACTGACAATAATACAAGTAATAATAATAGTAGTAAAATCTTTGACACGAAAAAATCCTAATGCATGCATCACTGTGAGGAAGATAAATCGGCACATTTGCATTTTTCATTAAAGGTAATTGTGTAAATGTTACACAACCAGTGGGTCAGAAATGTAAGGATTCTACCAAAGCAATAAAAAAACCTAGAAGATGATGATGATTTACAGAAAAATATTAGCTCACGAATTAATAAGACGAAAACTAGACGGCCTATGCGATATAGGTATCAAAGCTTTATAGGCTTGTGATTTTTAAGTTGCCCGAAAAAGAACCTTTTAAGAACATTAATGCTTAGTATTGTTATACAGTCAAAACATCAATGCAAAAAAATTGAGAACAACCGCTGGAGAACCCCAAAAATGACTAAAAGAAAAAAAACAAACAACATATTGACGAAGCTCCGATTACATCCTTTCAAGTCATTGCTGTGCAAAATGATCATTTTTAGACAATGCGAATTAAAATAATTTGACTGTAATGAATGCCAGTAGAAGGGGGGAATTAGAAATATCCGGTTCAAACGAGACAGCTATACTGAAATCTCGTTTTAGAACATTGCCAAAAGTTGTGAAATTTTGTCATTGAAAAGTAAACCAACTACCAGTGTCTTCATATTTTAACTAAAGAGAATTTTAAGTAATGATGTAAATTTAGATAAATAAAATTCAAGTAGTCGAATCGACGGAAAAAGGGAGGGGGAATTTCCAATCTTAAGTAAAGAAGCATTTATTTTTTGCTGTACCACCCTTGATATAGCAAAGGATTTTTTTAAAGTAATCCACTAGAACCACTTAAACACTGAAATATAGGGTTGGGATTAAATTCAATCTATATGATAAATAATTCAATGTGAAATCAAAATTTCTAAAAACAATAATCTTGAATTAAATTATAACTAGTGTTCTATTATGTAAAACCGTAGATGTGTCATATTCTAAGACAGGAGTTTTGTTTTAAACGTGTCGAGGGCACCGTCCATATTGCGCTCAGAGTTGGGACGTAGTGTGTCAAGCGGCTTTCGTAGGTAGTTTTCAAAGAAGTTCAGAATAAGTTAAATTGCTCAAAGATGAGCGATAGTGCCGACTTTGAGGAAGGTGAAGTTGGCGATTTTAGTGATTTTGAGGATGGAAGTCTAGTCGATAATAGTGCACAATCACCCATAGATGTTGGGAGTTGTACTAGCGAGCAGATCGTAGCGTCGAGTCGGTGCGGTGTTTCGGTAGATAAGCAATCACAAGGTGCGATTGGGGGTGTGGGATGCTATGGATTAAATCATGGGCATAAAGAAAGGGAGGAGAATCCCCCTTCGTTGCGCTACTTGCTCTCTGATGAGGAAGCTGGCCGTCACCGTAAGGTAACCGTATTTAAAAAAAACCTAAAACCACGAATTGGCAGATGCCTTGCCAGAAACGGAAAAAGAAGAAACGCGACTGGGGTCAAAGTAACTCTCGGGATCGGCTTCCAGCCATGCGACAGGGTAGAGTCCGCTGCCGATTTTATCTGGAAGGTCGCTGCAACAAGGTTAGACGCCTGTTACGAGCCGTTAATTTCTCAGGGTTCGGATTGCTCGTTTAGCCATGGCTTCGTCCCAGTTAAGAAACAGGAACTTTGCAAATTCTACGCCACTGGTAGTTGCAGTAAAGGATCTGGTTGTCTATTCCTTCACGGGGAATTTCCCTGTAAATTCTTCCATTTAACAAGAAATTGCTACCATGGGAATAACTGCAAGTTTTCTCACAAGCCACTTACTCCTTCTACACGGTCTTTGTTGGATAAACTTGATGGACAGGTAATGTGGTAAGCACATTGATAGCGTTTAGATCTGTAATCCACGTGCTACGGAAAATGGAGGTTCCGGTCGGGAGGCCGGTGCTACGTATGCACAATCGCAAATACAAATTCCACAGGATGCGCCGGCAGAGCCGTACGGCGATGTAGATTATCGGCGCATGGTTAATCCATGGTGAGTTCAATTGGCCCTTCCAAGCATAAAAAACAGGAAGGCTTCGTATTGAAATGTCATGTCGGTCCCTAAGTTGAAGTTGTAGCGTTCTCTTCTCATTCGTGACGGCCGCCTCTCTTGCGCAGCACATGCTTCATTCACGTGAATCATTATTAGGGTTACTTTAATGGGCATGGAGTGTATGTTTACTTAGAGGCTGTTGTGTTAGAAAATATCTGCTGCTGCCTATTCTACCAAGGTTTATTTTTGAATTATACTTCCAGCTTTTGTATTGAACTGTATTGGACTGTGCTTTAATGATTTGTTTTCAAAGTTATTATATTAGTGCATTGATAGTATTGTCGATCATTACTTTCTTTTTCTTCTCTGGTATTATTAACGAGTGACCTTTCATATTTCCTATTGTTGTATTAAAGTTCATGGTGCATGGTGCTTTTTGGGTGCTATTTTACTAAAATATGTACTGATAAATTTATTATTATGTTTTCCATTCACTTTTGCTATCACTTCATAAATTATCTAGTTTTGCTCCCCTTTTACTGGCTGATACATCGAAAGTCTTCTGCTTTTCGTAAGTTTTTGATGCAAAATACTTCAGCTGGTTTTATGCCCACATCCTTCTGATCATTTTTCCACTTAAGCAGAGACTTCTTGTTTCCTTTCACTGATAGGTTTAAAATGTGTGTTTGTTCCTAACTGCTCGCGGGTGGCAGTCACTAAATTTTGCATAATTTGACGCTATGCAATACCTATGCCATTCTCTAACAAGTCAGCGGTGCTGAATTTTTTTTCAAATCAGAGTTGCTTTTCTGTGTCAGGAAATGGTGGGTACAGCATGCAGGGTTACAATTCTGAATTCCTGTGTACTGACTTAACCCTTTTTGACAAATTGTTTACATTTCGGTCATATTTGGACGCCAATAAACCCTTTGAATCATCGCTTTTTGTAAGCCCACCTGGTGTCGGACCACAAGCATATATTCCCTGTGGGTTTCAACCCTCCACTCCGTCAGCTCTTCGTAGACCCCCATTCGACCCTCAGCCGCACCACATCCGCCATCCCCGAGTGGACGAGAGTCTTCCTTTTCCACCTCAACCAGGTTGCAACGGGGCGTCATCCTTGCGAGCTCCCCTTGTTCCACCTTGCCGCTTTCCAATGGGCGGACTCTGTATGCCACCACACCGACCCCCAATATCTGATGTGGTCCGACATCGCCCTGGGCGTCATCCGTCCCAGAAGTCGCGACCATCTTTTAATGAGGACAGTAAGCAGCAGGAAATCCGGGAGACCCCGTTCAATGGAGATTCTATTTCCTTCCAGGAAAATGCTGCTCTCGCGGTAGACTTTCTTATTTTTGCCTCATATGTTCGATCATAGATTAGTTTGTATGCCATTCACGCCGATCACCTTATTTCTTAGCTGTCAACATTCGTTTTCGTCCAATCGAAAAACAAGGCGCGTAAGCAAGAAGTCGCTAGGTGCTGCATAAGAGTCAGAGAATGTTGTAATAGTCCCGGACCGCAATGTAGCCGGCTTTGTTTACTTTTACTGCGATAACGCTGGGGCTAGTTATCCACCTCACTGCCCGACCAATGTACAAGTTTAGTTGAACATTTATTGTGAAGTCTTAGTGGAACCATGGCTTTCAAATTAATCGAAAAGAAGGACCACTCGGGTCGATCTTGTGTAGGAGAACGCGGCTATAAAGCCGTTAGTGAATGTGCAAGCCAGCATATCTACTATTCTAACTCATTTTATGTGTTATTGCTAACTGGTGTTCACATTCTCCGTTCCCTTCCGCTTTGGTCAAGTCAGCTGTCTTTTCCTCGGAGCTATTTATTACCTAGAGTGTCATGCTAAATTTGAGAAACTGTCTGTGATTGAAAGTTGTGCTTCGCGAGGGCTTTTTAGTTTCAGCCGTTAGGCAGCGTCAGATCTGACCGTCTTGTCATGTCTGGCTAACGGACGAATTCTTACGCAAATTTGAACCATTTGTGGTTCATGTGTGATGTTATTGCAGAGATCGTGATTCCGGACTCACTTCGTCTTATGAAACCTAATAACCTGGGTACTTGATTCGTCGTGGATTCTTTTTTGTTTTGGTTCGCAAACACTTGTGTGTGGGGTGTCGATTACTATACCGAGGTAGTACGCATAAATCAATCCACGCTGCTCGGCCAAAGGAATTTCGAGTGTCATGTCCCTTTTGGCAATCTCCGTTGTCTGCCGTCGCACTGTGGACGTGATTGTAGTGATTTGCCTTTATTTCTGGATTGCGTTTAAATTTAGCCAAAGAATGCTTCGAAGTTTGTCGTATGCAACCTCGTGGCAGACCTCAAGTGATAGGGATTTCTTCGCGTCGTCTCACCAACCTTTAAAAGCTTGTGACAAAAGATTTGCTAGTACCGGCCTTTTTTCACCATGTTAAGCGCTTGCTGTAGATGATGGGCTGGGAACTGGACAGACTATTTACGACTGTCATGAAAAGATTTGTTCCCCAGGACAAATCGCCCCATCACGGTCGCCTTCCTCACCTTAAGGTGTTTTATACGCATATTGCATGACATTTCCCAACCGGCACTTACATGATATCAACTGTAAAAAGGCTTGTCCCGGAAATTCAGTTGACCACTATTTACACCTTCTCAAAGCATCTCTATCACTTTTATTTACAGGACTTCAAACAAGGCCAATCAATGAATGACCTTTCTTCTCCTAAACAGTCGCCCAAAAAAGTTCAGGAGGAGATGCTTCCGAGCATGATGGTTGATGAGGGTAATATTATCTACGTGAATAAGAACGCGAATGACATGCCAGTCTCGGATTTTCCAGCGAGTTCGAAGTGGCAACTCCAGCCACTCGATTTAGACGAATGTCCCGCACTTCCGCAGTCTGTCTCTGCCCTTGCTAGTTCCGCTGATCCACGACTGAAAGTTGCCTACCGGTTACCTGCATTGACTCCGGCCAAGGAATTTCTTTCCTCAGCCTCACCTGCCTTCGTCGAAGATAATCAATTGATGACAGTGCTTGCTCCCCCACCAACAAAGTCGGCATTCAAACGACGCGCAAAACTTCAGCTCAACGAGATGGCGAATACATTTGCTATTACCGGAACGCCGGCGCAACAGCAATCTCCAGTCGCCCCCTCCGTTTTGGACCCAAGGCTAATAAAACGGCGAAAAGTGGAGACCGCCACAGCTTCCACACCGACGGTTGTGGAGCGCAAACAGTCGCAATCATCCACATCGATGCAGATCGTGTCTCCACCAGAGTGACGGGTGACCTTCATTTTCTATAGATTTTTTACTTAAATACTGCTACTTCAATCGCTGCGTATGCGTGTTGCAATCATCCGTGTATAGCTATGCCCGCGCGCCAGGATCGCGTGTACAAATCACAGTGGCACGTACAATGCATTCGCGTGTCGCCACTGCTCCTCGCTACGATCTAGAGAAAATAACAAAGGGAACTGGAGTTGTGTAGTGTATTTGACAATAAAAAACGTCATAGTCGAGGCAAAAAGAAATTCAAACCTGGAAGCTACCATACTGTCGATTCCAAGACAAGTAGTGCTCTAAGTCCTTCGAGGATACACTTGCTTTAACGTGATTAAAGGCCATCAAGAAGTCCTTCATTTCTACCGGCGGAACCTTAAAAGAAGCAAAAGGTTATGTCGGGAGTGAGCCTTACGTTCCTAAAACAATAAACCATAGCGTAGTCACAATTTCGCATTAGTAGGAAATCAGCTTTTCTTCACACGTTGGCTCGACAGTCGTTCTGTTATCGTCTATGATTCTGCCTCCGTTTAAAGGATAAGAACTCTGTGTCACAGCGCCACGTAATCAGATTTTCAAGTCTCTATTCAAACCGGCCGTCGAGATTGGGTGACAACGGTTTCCAGACGATATTAATATTTTCAAGATAATAAATCATACAAATTTAAACAAGTGTAACCGCCCGAGTAAAATTTATCGGTGATGGGCTTTAGCGATCGCCAGATAAGGAAAAGGATGGATTGTGTACTAAGCAATGACTAGCACATGGAATCAAAATAAATTGAACTAGGGGTGGTAAGTGGGTGTGGCCAGCTGCATCAGAAATCCAATGGATGTCCTGATCAGAAAACGCCAATTCCTTCCACACTCGGCTTACCCTTGTCCATGCATTCAATGAACTCCCTACTTTGTCCAATGAAGATTATGTAGGTAATGTTTAGGTGAGTTTGCATAATTGACTGTTTGCAGAATAACCATTTTCGGTAACCGCTTAGTTAAGTTTTAACTCTCACTCAGTCGAAATAAACTTGTAGTCGAGCCAAAACTACTCGCGAATGTCTCTGGTGATGTCTACCATTCTTCTCGTGACTAAATGGATACCCTTAACAACACCAATTTCCGGTACGTAATCAAGCATTGGCCTACGTCTTGACAGGGTATTGACTGGATTATCTCCAACGTCAGTCCACGTATGGGGCCCATGGCGGCCTCTCTGCAAAGGTTAGCGACATCAGCTCCCGAAAACCCTAAAGAAAATTGCAAAAAAATCTGAATTTCTTTTCTAGTTGTTCGTGTGTTTGATTAATTTCGGACTCTTTCATTCTTCAAAAAATATTGCAGTGCTGGGTGATAAAGATTGGTCAGATTTGGAAAAAATAGCTACCTCTGAATAATTATGCACATTTCACGGTGACGCTTTTTTGGATTTTTTTGAAATATCGATCATTAATACATGAATGTTTAATCGGTGTTAATGCCCAGGTTCACTAAACGGCCGTAAAAAGAATTAACGTGTTGCATTTTTTTGGTTTGGGCAGGAATGGAAAACAGAAAATGTTAAGACATAAACTAGGCAGCCACACCACGGTTCTATGAAAGTAGCCTCTTACCATCGGAGTTGGAAGCGATGATGTCGAGGTCGTCCTGAGTCAGACTATGTTTCTGCTGCTTAAGGAGTCGGTCCACGATTTCCCTTCTAGCATCGAAAGATGGTAGAGGAATGTATAGTCTCTTCACAAAACGTCTTCTTGCGGCCTCGTCCAGTTCTTGGGGCCTGAGGAAAGGTAAAATAACTCAATCACGGAATCAGGGAAGAGATTTTATTGGACATAATTTTTCCTCACCTGTTGGTAGCGCCAATAAGAAGAAGCTTGTCATCTGATTTGGTCCCCACACCATCCTATCATGGGCGAAATGAATAAATCGCGATAAAGCCGTATATACCAAAATCGCAATTTGACTTTACGGAAGCTTCTGAATTAAATTCCAGATTGGCGTTTTTACCTTGAAGCCGTTAACCTCTCTGAACAGTGTTGAAGTTATCAAAGTGGTAACAAAGGAGAGAGTAAGTCACATGTGCCTCCCGATTGCAAAGGCCGAGACATCTTCGATATAGCCCACATTCAAGTGTAAGTATGTGAGTCTCGAAGATATCTGAACATTTTTGTTAGTTATTTGATGGTATTTTCAATTTACACCCGAGTTAAAGTACCGAAGGGAGCTGTACACAAAATCATTAGAAACGAGATCGAGGGATTAACAGTCTTAGTCATAAAATGAACTAGACCTGACGCACCAACTGCACCAGAAACTCAGTTTTTATGCGACGGCTTGACTCGTGTTCGGTCTCGCTGCGTTGCGAAAGGAGCGAGTCGATCTCGTCGATGAAAATTACCGAAGGCTGATGAATACGGGCAATCGTAAAGAGGGCGCGAACCATCTTCTCACCGTCGCCGACCTTTGAAAAAAGCGGGAGTTTCATTAAAAACTTGTTCCTCTGATACGTTGACAAAGTGGTTTCCTGGTAAACTAAACAATGATACTGTAGGCGGGGGTGTTGTATCAAATAAATTCATTTCACGTTGAAACCATGAGTGTTGGCCAGCACTTATATTATGTGGAAGGAGTGATTCCATGCCAATGCAGGCAGTAAATCCTGTTCAAAAATTCTGCGTCATTCTGGGTTCCTTTATGACAAAGACGCATACTTCTAGTGGACAATTTGGCTACCAAGGTAGGTTCGTGTCCGATTTCTATGGATTGCTTAAGCGTGCTGACGCCTCTTTTATGTTAGCGTCAGAAAGTTGCGTAAATGCGTCCTGAGACAACATAACCATGGAGAAAAGATGATTTAAGTTAATTTGTGGTTGACACAAATACGCGAAATGACATTTTTGTAGGGGTTGTTGCAACTCCAACAAGAAATATTCGCGGTTGAAAGCGATCTTGTCGACTTCAATCTTAACCATTAACTCTGCTCTGAAATATTTTCTCACGTTGGCGACAACTTAATCCATGATTCAGTTAATAATAATCCAAAGGTTGCGTGTTGACAAATCAACTGCATTTTACCATTGATGCGCTTTGAAACCCAATAAATTGGCTCCACAAGTTTGGAAGGAACGGAACAAACGACTGTGTTTCCATAGGCATTTCGTTCCTTGCACGTCAGTGCGAACCTTTCCTGGGTTTGTGCGTAACAACAGGAAAAAGAAGCTGAGATCAGGGGAGTAAAATTGTCGAATTGATGGCGTACAGCATCTGAATGCACAAATGTTCCAAGGTACCGGAGACAGTTAATGGAAATGCGTTTACTTTGGTTTCGAATTGAGCACTAACCTTTGCGAGGGCGAAATTGATCAATATCATGATTTAAGGATCCAAAACCCAGCTAATTTTTACGTTAATAGCGTGGGTCAATGGCATAGGATTTCAACGTATACCACATACCCATTTTGAGGTGAGAGAAGACGCGCTAATGCTGAAGAACGTTGACTGACTAGACGAAGCTATACATTTACCTAAACATCCAAGATAAAAAAAATTGCGTACATATGTATAATCAAAATTGATTTCAATGTAAGCGCCGTTGAGTCCGTCAATTGATCGGCATTCATTGAGTCATGGAAAATTTTTAATTTACGACAATGTAAAACGTTGGCATTATGTGATAAGTAAAAAATGTGTGCCTCGCTGGATTCTCCAAGGTTGGCGGAGGTATCCATAACAAGCATGAATCAGTGTCAGATAAGGGATTCGCTGCATCGAACCATCTAGACCGAATGTGGAAATTTATGAAATATCCGGGGCATCCAGAGTTATTGCCGTGAACACCCAAATGTCAATCGAACGCTCGACGTGCTTTTCAGGTCACGATTATGGGAAGTGGATGTGGACAACGTACATGCGGTTAAAGTGTGACCCATAAGAAGTATTTCGTTGGAATTAAGGTTTGACGTACATCCTAGACATTTCAAGTCCACGATAGTGTGTTAGTTTAACTGAACGTACCTATAAGTGTTTTACCCGTTCCTGGTGGACCAAACAGCAGAAGCCCTTTGGGTGGACCGCGAAGACCCGTAAATAGATCACTGGACACAATAAATCGAGGGTGAATCATGCGGGTAAGGTCTTGGCAACAATATTGTTCTGTGAAACGATGTCGCATTATAAGCGCATGAAAAGATAACACGGGTGTTGAGTTGCCAAATTTAGAAAAATCCACAAGCATTATGATTTCGGCATCATCATCACTTGAAAATTCAACAATTCGAAGTGCATTAAAAGTAACAAAATCGTGTTGACAATTTTCATTACTTCTTGAGATAGACTGAGGCGCACGTTGAAACCAGGTTGTGTTCAAAAAAGCAAAATATCAGAGGAACTTACGGACGAAGCATCGGGAATATGACGACTTCCTGTAAAGTAGATTTTACACGATGCAAACCCGCAATGTCATTCCAAGAAATCGAAGTTTCTGAATCCATAATCTAAACAGAAAACAGAAGAATCTATCCTACCAGAGAAACTAATAATACCTCGATTTCGTGCAGAGGTACGTACAATAACAGGCAATGTCAGTAGTTAGGGCCTTTGACCTGCTCAGTGGGAAACGAAATACCAGGCGCACTGTAGTACACGAGTCCTGAGCTACCACAATTTATTGCCCCTTTGGGGTTCTCATTCACCCGCATGATGCAATCAACTGGTGTTTTTTTGGCTTCATATTTTTCGGATTGTGGAGGTCTCTGACACTGCGTCACAGACCCTTCAAACGTGAAATTACGTCTTGGCTGGAAATGGTTATAACACAGAGTAGTCTAACGCCGAAAAAACGTTAGACTTTAATTTCGCGTCTCCTTTGGCAGCTAGTGAGTCGAAACACATCAGGCCAAACATGTGCGCTTAAATTGTCAATAATTATACACTATCTAAAATCCCATTCTTTTATAAAGGGGTCTGTATTTACTAAGCCATCTTTTTGGGTAGCTAGGCTTGTCTCTACTTTGAATACTACCACAAAACCAATGATAATTATTATAATATTGAATTCACGAAGGCTTCAGTCTAACTTAGTCCTATAAGAACAATGCTAATTCCAAAGATCTCATCTTAGCAAATATAGGCGTAATTTCAATAGTATCAACTCAGTATCTGTAGAGACGATTGCAAGCCTAAGACTCATCTTCCATGAGAAAGATATTGCAGCACGTAAAATGATGTTGGCCTTCCATCCTCAGGGTAGATGACAAACAACCATTCGGCGGTAACGGATGATGGGTGCAAATTAACGGTTATGGTAAGGAAGTGACCAAGAACAGCACCAATTGTCGAATCAGCTGAGTCGTGCACCCACAAATTTGTTAAACAAAGAACGCAACCACTCGAATGCCTAACCGCTTCAGATGAAATACGAAAGCTTTGGTGAATTCACGACGGTCAATTTTTGTTTTCGAGACATTTCATAGCGTACCAAGCCAAACTTATACCCCAAACAAAAAAAATAAGCAGAGCCTGAACAAATAAACAAAAGTATCAAGAAGACATAGTAATCAATAAACGGCCTACCTCGCTCATAATAAGATCGACAATCTTTGCATCGAACTGTTTGAGGCGCTCGTCTGCAGTGACTTCACACCGACTTCCAAACTTTGATGCTGTTGGTGGCATTGGGAATTCTGAGTTACTTGTAGAAGAATTTATGTCGTCTTTCAGACATGCATCATTACTGGGTCTTGTGAACGGGGGCACGAAAGCTGAGCGAGGACCTCGACTTAAAAAATCAAACGCCTTCAAGTCACACAAGTAGACGACTTAGGATTTTTGCGAGTCTGGCATCTCCTACTTAATTTTAAACCCCACTCTGCTAAACAAGCTATTGACGCCAAAACCCTTCGTGATAACTGAACGCTGCAACTGGGAAATCACTGAAATTGCCCGTATTCGTCTACTCCGTTCACATTTTATTCTTTTCCAAGAACAATCAACACAACCAGGAGCTTAAAAATAACATGGCGATTTTAACTAGAACGGACCCTCTTGTAACGGAACAAAATGACCATAATACAACTATGGACATAGAGGTGGTATTGTGAAAGGAAAACTGGACATGTGATCGCTCCATGTTTGCTAAGACCAAATAAGTTGTATGGATCGCAGTACTTAGTTCTTTACAACTTGGATCCGGACATGTGGAACCAGAAATGTTGACAGATGATTCCCATAGTTTATATGGGTCTCAAAAATCTGTAGCAATGTATACTACTTTAGAATTCTGCTAGTTAAAAGACCGTAACATCCGGTGGCATAGACAGGTTACTGCAGGTAAGTCCATTTATTCGCGCATGTGGCTGATGCGGGTGTTTTTAAAAAGAATCAGCGAAAAAAACAACAAGCTGATCGTGGGAACCGACGGGGGAAAATTGTGAGCCATGTGCCAAGTTATATGAAGCAGACCTTTCTGGACAGCTCTTGCTCATACGTCCGAACAAATCTACCGTTTATAAATTACACAGAACCTGGGGAAAAAGATTGGGAATCGTTGACGTATTTCCCAGTCCCAATTACCGACAGAGTGAAGTTTCCACAAAACGCCTCACTGGTCTTAACAGATTGTGTTAATAACCCACTAGACCTGACACAGAACTGACCTTCCTAATGATTTTCTGATCACATCCTGTTTAACGGCTGAGATACCCGATTGGTTGAATTGCTGTGTTCGATTGGACATTAAAAGCTGAAAATCAAGAAGCACTGTAACAGTATTCGAACGGGTCTTAGGCACATCTGGATTTTCGGAGTCAAGCGAAAACAAAAATGTGGACCAACACCTTGTTTTAATTTATGAATGAAAGCTGGACTGGTTGACATTTTAAAAAATGAAATATTTGGGAAGACGGGAAGCTGGAAAGTAGCTTGTTTTGTGCTGTATGAAACACACACGATGGCAGAATATACGTCCTCGAAAAGAGGGAACATGATCGAATTTGGATAGGTTACGGAAGATGACCGAAAAAGTGGAACGACGAATTCGCCTGCAACCACTTGTTATACAAGGCATTGGACTATGAAAAGACGCAATTCTATCCACACCTACGCAGTGTTTTATACGAATATTCGAAGGGCTATTTTACAATAGAGCGCGTCATGAGATTATGTGTGAGTCTGTGTGAACTGGAGTCACATATCGACACACCTACCTGTTGGTTTGCAGTGATGAAGGACGGATTACTTTTTATTGTATCTTCATACTTTGGTGAGGACTGGAAATAAGAAAAAAAGCACATACGAAGTCCGTTGGCGCTAAGAGGTTAATGAAAGTTTGAAATTAGAACGCTTCTAATCTAACCATTATAACCGCAATCAAACAGTTAAAATTAGTACTATTACAGGTATCAGACCAACTCAATTAGCATCAATTACAGTTGAAGTGAGGGTGAAATTTTTTTATAGAAAAGTATTTTTCTTCAAAATATATTGTACGAATTTTAACTTCATCCATAGAATTAAATCTTTTAGCGTTCAAACAATTTTGAGAGGAGCAACACATTTAATGTGATTATACTGGGAACATAACTAATCAAACATTCGTGCACCAGCCATTCACGAAAATTGGGCAAGGACTTTTGCAATCCCCAAGAGATTAAGCACACCGCCAGACTTCAAAACAGGAAATTGATAACATTAGGATTGTAGTTGTACAGATAAGGCGTACAATGTTCCATTGTCAATGCAGTAGAAAACAGGATAACGATTTGCAACGCGAAAAATTAAGATGAGTATCCTAAGTGTGCAAGTAAACAGGAGCCAAGGACTCATTGTCCCTACATTATAAATAATTTTAATACCCTTACCAACGTGGAAAATCTTACGTAAGTAGGGATACAGGCATAAAACTCTAGTCTTTTCGATCTTTTAATAATTAAAATGAATTATGCTTATTGTGTCTTGTAGTCCATTTTCGAACAACTTAAGATTGCCTAGTATGACAATTAATACTCAAGTTAGATTATGATGCAATGAATCATATTGGTTCACCTCTAATAGCCCGGTCGTCCCAAACCTTACACACACGTCCCGCTTTTCACGGCGTTCCTGTCAGTCATGCGGGCACCCCTGCTCATTCACCCCTCTGCATGTACTGCGACCTCTCCCTTTACCCATGTGACCATTCAGACGTATCAGTCAGCGAAACACGTGAGTCATGCACTACCTTTTATACACACAAAAACAACTTGGTTAAGCCTCGTCCTCTCCGGTCTTCGTCTTCTCGGGTACTCATGATAGCGTAATCGGGCGAGATGCAATGCAGCGGCCCCGGTGTGGTTTAGGCCAACATGCCGCTGTGGATACGAAACTGCAACATTTAAGCCCTTCAAGTTCTGATCCGTGACCAAAATTCTGGAATTAACTAGAGCTTACAAATTAGAAATTCTACGTGTGCTGTGTGAGTGGAGGGCAACTGTTGGCTGAAGTGAAAATCGGGGCGCCCAAGCTTGAAATACGTGCCTACATCGAAAGGCGTGTACATAAGTGAAAATGAAGGACTTAAATGTTAACAGGATAAGGTGCTATCCACATAAGTGGACGTGTTGGCGTTCTCCAAATATCTCTTAGACAGAATAAACGCTTAAGTACGTTAAAGTTAGAAAATATGGCTGACAGCAAAATGCTAGTGCCGATATGTGTGGTATGCAGGTTACATAATAACTAGATGATTTAGGTCAAAATTATTATAGTATTGCAATGAAATAAGACCAGGTTTGACATAAACCCATAATGAATTTGTGATCGCTCTTTTGTAAAATACACGGAGCTCAACCATTAGATTTTAGATAGTGATAATCTCAATAGCATCACAAACTAAAAATGCTTTAAATTGCTTGGTCACGAAATGTATGTCCATACTACTGGAGGCGAGATTGGCAAAACATATTCATACAGACATAAACAGGATTTAAATTCCTAAAGCTTTGAGAATCTTAGAGAAATTAATTTGATAGCCCATTTATGCCTGGATTTAAATGGAGGCAGTTTGCTTCATTCGCTCAAAATACAATTTATATCTTCTAAGAATTGCTCAACGAAGAATTAGCACATGATGCAAAATGTGCAAAACACACAAATTGCTTATGTGAAACAAATAAATTCTGCAACTACAGCTCGTTTTAGTACAGACTAGGTCGCTAAAAATTTAATTTTCATCCCAAGAATATGACTATATCATTAACACAAATACAGACGTACGAATGAATCAAAATTGATTAGCGTAAACCGCCTTATGCATCGAATGACCATTATCAAGTGTCACACTTGTGGGAAACGCCAACCCGTGTCAGTGCCACGACGACTATGAGTCACGATTAAGCCTAAATTGAGCCAATTTTAATAAACGAAATTATGGATTTTGAATAACCCTGAAACAAAAGATACATAAGGAAACTAAGTTAGAAATCGACTAGACCGATGAGAACCTTGAATACAAAACCCGATGTAGATTACTGTAAGTGGCAAAAGATCAAAGAAAGTCCAATGTTAAAAATGGTAAATGGAAAATGGTACTACGCTAAATAAAGTTGGCTAGTAAACTTTTAAAAAAAATTCATTTTGCAGAATACCAACGTTGGCAATGAAATGGATGCAATTCCAATTTGACTCACCAAAGAAAAAGGTGTGGCACCCGCATCAACAGGACGAAAAGTTTCACCTGACAAATGTTCTGGCAAAATACCATGAAAGTTGGCTTTTCGGTTGGGCAAACTACCACCTCGTACGGTAGCTCTTGCGACCGTCGCCTACGGGCACAAATATTTAAAATCCAGTTTCGAACTAAAGGTGCAGTTAATGAGCCTGGCAATGAACGGTGATAATATAATAACAGGATTATAAAATATACTGACAACCAATTTAACTCCAAATGAGGGCCTCAGGTTCCACACAAGTGTACAGCAGAACATTAAACAAATGCAGTTTTGTACAGTTAAGTGGTTTATATCATTATGTGAAGTGACTACACTATACATAGAAAAACAAAGACCAACTGAAGAAAAAGCACTTAAAACGGTCTTTGAATGTGCTTAAATGACAAAGAAGTAAAAACCAACTCATAAAAGTAAACAACGATTTGGCACCACTTAATGGACAACAGTACGTTACAAATTCCGATGTAGAATACACAAACAGGTGACTTACCGAGTCCGGGGCTTTTTTTAGTATTTTATTTAGAGAGTTCGAAACTAATAATTGTCACGCATGTTAGTGAAAAAACCGCTTACATAGTTCAGTTGCAAAGCCATTGAATTTATGCGCTCCAGGCAACAGAAAATCTAAGACTTGTGAAGAATTCTGAAACACGTGAAATGGCATATCTAACCCATAAATTTTAAAGCTAACCTCATTAATGTGATCAAGTACCGAGGTCACCTCGAAAACGCTTCTCCACTCGGGTGCATCTTTCAAAAATTAGTCCAAAAACTAGATGACATACCAATTTCATCGTCATTCACTTTATCCAACACAAATTCAGCAAAATTGTTCGAACCTTTTAAAAAGTAAAAGACGGTTAACCATTAAATCACGATACCTGTGTTGTTATCGCGGTTATCTACAAATGTTCATTCTCATTTACACAAAACAACAAGTAAACAGCAAATGTAAAATTACTTTTGACT